TACCTTCACCCCAAAGCGACGACTTATCTTGCTCACTCACACCCGGCTATGATTCCAATCACGGCCCCGCGTAACGTTGCAAAGCGATTTTAATTACGCCTGCTCTGCTCCCCGCAACACCGAAGTCGCGGTCCTACAACCAGAGGGCATGCACACCACAGCTCAATCCAGCAGCTGTAATGAGTCCCCCGGCCTTGCGGCCGCCCCAGCTCGGGCACCACGCTCCCCTACTCTTGCCTCAAGCGGCTGCCTCTCTTCCTGGGTACGCCAGACACGCACGCATGCTACCTTGCGATAGGGCCCCTGGGAGCTCTTGAGCCTCCGAAAAGGCGGCGGTTTCGCAAGACACCTCATCGCGTGCTGCTGAGCGGAGAATGTGACGCCGTGTGCACACATCCACCTATCCGGTCCCCGCATGCACATGACAGCTACGCTTGGGACGATCGTCCCCCACGATGCTGATTGGGTAGCATTGCCAAAGCCACATGCCTATCTAGCCCTTCAACCATGCGGCCATCTGCCATATCTCCTTTAAGCAGAGGACGTGGCTTCATGATAGCTGAGCTGCTAAGCCAACCATCCTTGGGAACATGAAAGTACCTACTCCAAGACCGGTCCTCACACCTCTGTTGTATCCAACAGACGGGAACGGGGGCTGAGACAGATTATGGGGTGACCTCCTCACAGCGCTCGGCAAACATACGATGCCTTCCACTTGAAACCCAAATTCTTTCTTGCAGCATGGTTTTCCCAAAGTCGAGCCGAAACGCTTGACATAGCTATCTGGGGTGATCCTTAATTGCCCTGCCCTTGCCCCTTCTGGACCTCATCTTCTTTCCACAACGGCTCACCTGGCCCACCCTTTGCCACGCCTTGTCATCAAAGAACTGCCCAGTGGACTGTCCTCTTGACATTGTCTACCACCTCTGTCCTTATCCAAGAGGCTATCAGGGCTACAGTGTGGAGAACGCGATGTAACTTGGGAGCCTCCGGCTGGCCTCTCATGACCCTCATTCCAAGTTCAAGTCGACGTCTTCTTCATGCGGCGTACTGTCACGAATCAGATGATAGAGTTTACCGCCCCTCAGGGCCCTTGGTAGCCTTGGGTGGCTACAAGATCTGTCACCATCTCAAAGCGGCAAGTCCATGTCACTTCCGACGCTTGTCCCTCGAAGAATCGCCCAACGCCATCCAAATAGGCAATCCTTCTCGGTTCTGCCCGCCGCTCCCCTTGCCCACGCTCTAAGTGAGTGACATGAGAAATCAGGAACAAGGGGGAGTCCCTGTCCCTATCGACACTGGGCCACAGCCGTGTGATTTGCGGGATCCACAGCCTGGGTTCAGCACAGAAGGCAGTCAGCCTTTTCTACCTTCAAATTCACCTCCTACTGATACCGGTACTCGGGTGAGCAACGTTGCCCAACAGCCAGTACGACTTGGCTCTAATCCATTGCATTCACCAAGAGGGAGAGGGGGCATTGTAAGGTGACCTCGGTCCCCATAGTTTCATGCCATGGCGGTGTCATTCATCCAAATCCGATCTGGGTCCATGCGTGCTCACTCCATGCTTCTTCATCTGATGTCTGGGTCATGCAGCCACATTGCCTCCCACAAGTAACATCACTTGCGGGAATGTCGTGGGTGGGCTGAGTTCAGGGCAACATGACACACATGCTCGATCCTGACTCTGACGGTTTGTGGAAAGGTTGCAGAGGGGCAGCATTGGAGATGAAACCTAAGAGACTGGGCGCTCCCTTCGATAATGTTGCCTGTGGCGGTTTTCTCATCATCTATATAACCATATCAAGTCTCCCCTCTCATGTCCCGGTTTCTCTTCCTTCATCAGCACCGAGCAGAGCTCTCTCCTTCCAACCAGTCCCCAGCAACTTCCACTCCTTGGACATTTGTCTAACCTAGCCTGGTGCTGGTAACTTGCATTCAAGTCTCTCTTCCTGAGTATATCACTGAGAGCCGTTATCATGAAGTCTTTTTTCACCCGGTCGCTGGCTCTTCTGGCCCTTGCCCAGTCTGCATTTGGACGTGCCACTCCTCGTATGGAGGACTTAGCTTCCACTGACCTTTCCACGCGTGCAACTGGATCCATCAATGCTGTCTACTTCACCAACTGGTTAGTCCATCCTGACCATTCATGAGCTCATTGTACAGCTTCTAAATAATCCACTTTCCAGGGGCATCTACGGACGCAACTTCCAGCCTGCGGATCTTCCAGCTTCAAGCATTTCGCATGTCCTCTATTCTTTCATGAACCTCCGCGCAGATGGAACCGTGTAAGTAATCTTATATTCTTCACACTGTTTGTGGCTCAGCCAGGCTAATCTTGAACAAGTTACTCGGGTGACACCTACGCCGACTTGGAGAAGCATTACGCTGACGACTGTAAGTATCAGCTCCCCTTTCTAAACATTCAAGCTCTCTAGGTACTTTGCTAACGGTGACGGGATAGCATGGAATGATATCGGAACAAATGCCTATGGCTGTGTCAAGCAGCTCTACAAGCTCAAGAAGGCAAACCGCTCCCTCAAGATCATGCTGTCCATTGGTGGCTGGACTTGGTCGACCAACTTTCCCGCTGCTGCCTCCACCGAAGCTACTCGTGCTACATTTGCCAAGACCGCTGTTGAATTCATGAAGGACTGGGGCTTCGACGGCATTGACGTCGACTGGGAGTACCCCGCCAGTGAGACAGAAGCCAACAACATGGTCCTCCTTCTTCAGCGAGTTCGCCAGGAGCTCGACTCGTACTCCGCAACATATGCCAATGGCTACCACTTCCAACTTTCCATTGCTGCTCCCGCAGGACCCGACCATTACAAGGTTCTTAAGCTGGCCCAGCTCGGTTCCGTCCTCGACAACATCAACCTCATGGCCTACGACTATGCAGGTTCCTGGGACAGTGTCAGCGGTCATCAAGCCAACCTGTACCCTAGCACATCGAACCCCAGCTCAACTCCATTCAGCACCAAGGCTGCGGTCGACGCATACATCGCAGCTGGCGTCCCTGCAAGCAAGATCATCCTGGGTATGCCCATCTACGGCAGAGCTTTTGTTGGAACCGACGGACCAGGCAAGCCCTACTCCACTATCGGCGAAGGCAGCTGGGAGAGTGGAATCTGGGACTACAAGGTCCTCCCCAAGGCCGGCGCAACCGTGATCACCGACTCGGCGGCCGGTGCTACCTACAGTTACGACTCCAGCAGCAGGACCATGATCTCCTATGATACCCCCGATATGGTCCGCACAAAGGTCTCATATGCCAAGGGTCTCGGACTCGGAGGCAGCATGTTCTGGGAGGCATCGGCCGATAAGACCGGCTCTGACTCGCTTATCGGCACTGCTCTCAGCAGCATGGGCAGCCTTGACAGCACCCAGAATTGTCTCAGCTACCCCAACTCCAAGTTCGACAACATCAAGAACAACCTCGCTTGAGTGGACCTAGATCCGGTGAGCTTGGGTTAGTTTCGGGAGCTGTTCTCACGCGGAGGACTCCGCCTGTTGCGGGTAGAAGCTTCAAGAGATTTGGTTTTCTTCTATTTCTTTCTTCCCTTCTTCTCGTATATATATATGTCCACATATATACATACATACCTTGGAGAGCACGACTGGCTGGGGCAGGGACTTGTGGGTTGCTTGTGCTTGAGATACCCTGGGAACTGAGTGTTGCCTGGACGGCCACTCTGGTAAGTGTCGGCGGGTTCGATACGCGCACAACGACAGAGTTCGGGGGCCACGGATTGTCTTCACTGTATATATTTGACACTCTTTCGTGGCTATGTCATGCCTCCCTTCATTGCCGTCAGTACATCTGTATATATGCAACAAATAAAGCTGTATTTAGCCACCTTCTGCTGCGTTCTGCCTGTCTGTGTCGATCATCTTAGTACATACTGATCAGTGAAGTTTTCTAGGGCAGTTCCTAGCATTGAGTTACCAGCTGAGCGAAGCTCCTGACTTCCATTGTAAGGAAGGTGCAGCCCGTCGATGCTCCGTCATGTAGCTCAATCTACGTCATTGGAAAGAACGACGAGGCAGGTACAACTCTGCCTCTCATTGATCAGTTTTCTTATCCCCTTTTTATTCTTATCTCGGAAGGCGTGTAGACGGACCGACAAGTAAAGATGGAACTCATTCTTCAATGCGGTCCTTCCCTTCCTTTAGCCATCCATTCTTTCTCCTACTATTCTCCAGCCCATCTACCTCCAGATCCTTCTTCCGCTCACCACTGCCCTAAGAGTTCTTCTCTAGTATGTTTACCCCGTCGGATATTTCTGTTGCGCCCACGTATATCCCAGGGGTGAATGGATGCTCACCGCTAACTAACCAGCCAACACCTTACAACATCTTATTTTTTATATTTGGAGCTGCTCTGGAGATGAGCGGGTCCTCTTTCTCGCTTTCCAGCCGTATTTTACCATTGTTTCTATTTGGCTTATTTCCCTCCTTCTCCTGTGACGATTCGAAGTTTGTTCGGAGACTACGCCTTACCTCTCCTTCTCTCCTAGGCGCATTGAGAAGCCCCGGCATTTATACAGGACAGAAGTGCATACATCATGTCCTCGTTTCTTAGTTACGTGCACGAAACGCCAAGACGAAGAATCCCAAACGATCCACACCACTTCAAATTCCGCAAATCGTCCAAAGAGAATCAGTATCTTCAAAGCCCTGGTGACTCCGGATACAGTTCAAACGAGTGCTCGCCTAACCGGTCCAATCCTCCTCGAAAAGCCAGACCTCTCTTTGCACTTGATGGCCCAGTCTCATTTGACAACACGCCAGTACTGGCATCCACCGAACCTCCAGCATTAGAGGATAACAATCGCCTCAGCCCTGGCTTAAAAGCAGACGGCTCGCCTATTTCCACGTCCCGATCAGGTGCACAATCTAGCATCAAGAAAGGACTATCTTGCACTCCAAAGTCAAGGAAAAAGCAGACCCCTCTGTTGAACCAGTCCCGGCGATCTCACAGTTCTCTTACCAACAGAGCTGATCGATTCGTCCCAATCAGAGACGCCCACTCTCCCTTATCAGAAAAGTATCAAACCACGAAACAATCTGACTGTCTCTCAGCATCTGAAAAACTTCTGCGGGGTCAGGAGGCCTCTCATGACCCTTTCTTCAGCAGGAGAGAGTCTAATAGCCAGTCTTCTCATGTGCCCAGAATAACAAGTCCGAGTGTTCCACGGCAAAGCCAACCAACAGGTAGACCATTGCTTCCTCCCTCACTGAGCCAGTGTCTAACTTAAGTCGAGCAGTTATCGCAGTACGAACGCTAGTGTTTGATGACGACGAAGAACCAAGGCAGACACCTGAAGGCGTTCTGTCCACCCTGAGCCCCGTGATCAGGACAGGAATTGCTGTTGACAACGGGCATGGCCGCGTTCTACGTAGCGGTACGCATGCCCAGCTCTTCAATGCTTCATTTGCTTCAGCAAATATCACCCGCGGAGAAGCTTCAGACAAATATCAAGGCTGCATCGCCTCTGCTCTGGAAATTGATCGCGTGAGGCGGGTCCTCGATTTCAGCCCGAAGCAGACGTTGATAGCCCCTTTGCAACAAAAGACAGTCAACGGACAGATAGCTACCAGGACGACATAGAATGGGTCGAGGTGGTCGAACGAAAGGGAACACCACGTCACCATTGGTATTTTTCTTCTGCCCATTCCGAATAATAACAAGTCTTCGCTAATATCCTATTTGAAGGCTCGCGCCCAGCTGGATGCCGTAAACTTCCAGACGCTCCGATCAAGTACGTACCTCGTTCGAGCAAGCGATGCAGAATCCGCCTACGAATTGACACAGGCTAAATTATGCTACAGGGTCTTGGACGCACCGATGCTTCGAGACGACTTTTACTGCTCTATTCTTGCCTACTCTCCTAGTTGTCAAACCTTGGCTATTGGTTTAAGAAACACCCTTTACACTTGGACTGAGAAACTAGGAGGCGTTCCCTCCCAGAGCGCCCGGCAGGATGGTAGCTGGATAACCTCGGTGGGTTTTTCATCAACTGAAGGGCGGAAGAACATCTTGGCCATCGGACGATCGAACGGGTCTCTGATCCTGAAATCAATATGTGACAGCCTTCCGCGCTTCGAAGTGCAACATCCATGCGGAGTCGCCTGCGTAAGCTGGCGTCCATCGTCTACCTTGCGCCCGTCCAGTAACCCAATTAATCCGGGCCGTCCGACTAGTACTAAGGATCTTATTGTTGGAGACCAAGCCGGTACACTGTTCTATTACATGGTTGAATGGCCTCTAGGATGGGAAGTGACCCGAGATACTTGGCCAGGCAATATGGTACTGATCGCAAAGATTTCCATTCACAACCAACAGATATGTGGTCTTGCCTGGTCACCTAACGGAAAGCTTTTTGCATCTGGAGGGAACGACGATCTCTGTTGTCTCTTTGATGTTGATACAATACTTGGGGAGCCTGTCAGTAGGAATAGAGAGCTCTCCCGAGATGGCACCCAGGCACTTCCTAGTACAAACCTGGAACCAAGATCACAAACATCCGGCGGCAATGGCGAGGAGGAAACTACACATGAGGCAGAGAGTAGCGAAAGCAGTTTGGCCACTGACCCCAGCACAGAAATCCAAACACGGAGAACCTCGCCGGCAACTATTCGAAACTTTGGCCCCGGCGTTGAAAGGCACTGTTGGCCACATGGCGCTGCGGTCAAAGCCATTGCATTTTGTCCTTGGAGAGAAGGGTTGGTGGCAACTGGAGGTGGTTCTAACGACCAATGTATCAATTTTTTCCATACCAGCTCCGGTGCTGCACTGGCTACCATCACAGTATCTGCTCAGGTGACGTCCTTGACATGGTCAACATCGAAACGGGAAATCGCTGCAACTTTTGGCTACACGCAGCCGGAACACCCTTTTCGGATTGCCGTCTTCAGCTGGCCTGGCTGCAAGCAAGTAGCTGCTGTGTCCTGGGACCGTGGGATGAGGGCGCTGTATGCCATTCCATATCCTAATACTTCAGGGGGGCGGGGTTCTTCGGCCAACAACCGGCTTAGCCAAGGGGGGTGCCTTGTGGTGGCCTCGAGCGATAAGACGGTCAAGTTCCACGAGGTATGGTCCAACGAAGGAAAGTCCACAGTGGGCGGCGCCGGTACGCTGGGTAGCAGCGATATCTTGGAAAGCTTGGAAGGCATTGACAAGGAAGGTGACATTATCCGCTGACACTCAAGAGACGGAAGCCCATCATCGTGACATACCACCCAATCAGAACCAACATGACTATACTAGAATGTAAGGTTCATAAAACCAGAGAATGAAATATTTGCTTTTCCCCGCTTACCCTGAGAGAAGAAGAGAACAGCTAGTACAGATAGAGACTGAGAATCAGCATTATACCTGAGCTTCCCATCACCGAATCGTGTCCAAAAAGCAAGAAAGTTGTTCTATTGGCCAAGATATACATGCTTGGCGGGATAATATATAGAGAGTCGTTTATGCAGAACTCACTATCCAGAACTTGAGAGGCAAAAAGGAACGTAGTAAAAAATAATCAGATTCCTCGGGAACGCCAGACCGTGAACAAAACGCCAATTCGTGAACGCTAAGCCAACCACCCAGGAAAGAAACGCAGGAATTAACCTAGCTCATTTCAAAATTGCAATCAACAGGACAAGGATAATAATTAGGACGACAATCGCCGTCATCTGCTTGTTCTCACCAGCACCCCTAGCGACCTTACCCAGCACCCTACCGGCACGATCCAGGCGGGTTTGGTGGCGGTCAACGACCTCGTCGACCTCATCGAGCATGGCGACGTGGCTGTCGAGCTCGTCGCCGATCTGCATGCTGAGCTCCCGCTGGCGGCCGATGGACTCGCCGAGACGGTCGAGCTGCTCGTCCTGCTGCTCGAGGATCTGGGAGTGGTAGGCGTGCAGCTGCTGGTTGTCGAGCTGCTCGGCTTGGTCGCGGTAGCCGGCCGAGTCGTCCGGGTCGTCGCGGTAGGCGCCGAAGAGGTCGTCGGCGGGCTGTTGCTGCTGCTCCTGGGGCGTGTCGCTGAAGCGGACGGACTTGGTGTGCTTCTGGGCGGTGGTGGAGGCGGCGTGGGCGAAGTCGCTGGCGAGGGCCGGGGAGTTGGGGCTGGTGAGCGTGGCCGAGGTGGACGGGTTGGAGAAGCCGTGGAATTGGGAGGTGAGGTCGTCGAGCTGCTTCTGGAGGGGTGCGATGGAGTCGCTGATTGCAGAGGCGCCGCTGGGATGGTTATGTTAGTGAAGCTGGGTCATAATGCAGGTGGCCGAAAGTTTGGGGGAGGGAAAGGCTGCCTGGCAGGAGCGTTGCCATTATTCCATCCCTCTCCTTTGATCCGGCCGATGGGGTTGTGCAGAAGACGTACGAAGCATCGCCCGAGGACTCTAGCCGTGCTTGTTCCTGCTGCAGCGAGGCCAGGCCGTCGCGGAACTGGTCGAGCGAGCGAGAGATGTGGCCATCTTGGGGATAGCCAGCGCCGTCGTCGCCATCGAGGTTCAGCTGCTGTGCCCGTTTCCTCTCGAGCAGCGACAGCTTGATGTGGTCTGCGAGGAGGAACAATTGGTTTGGGTTTGACATTATTGGCGAAAGATATTACGTCGATGCTATCGCCGCCATGGAAAGTGGATGTGTGTAAGGTAATTGGGTGCTGGTCGCTCTGCGCTGTATCCTGCCAACCACCCTACCCGGCAGCATCAATGGAGCTTATGCATGCCCGCCTCAATGGTGTACCCCGAAATAAGTAGGTGCTCCATAGTATTGGCGACCTATCCCTGTCTCTTCTTTGTGTGGCTTTAGGCCAAATTCGTACGCATCCAGTACCCAGCACTTACGTACGCATCCACCCATCTGCGGACGGTCTTATGCAACACACACTACACGATTGAAAACCATGCCTACCTACCCTACACTCATGTACAATGTTGGGAATTTAATTGATGGCGTAAGATAAAATAAATGCAGCATTCCGTGTGAGCCAGCTCGGTAAGCGCTGGAAAGGAAGCTGCTGTAATTTCCAAAGGATTCCTTTCTTTGGACAGCCGTTTGCTTCACATTCCTTGTGGAAGTCAATCCCGCGTGGTACAATCCGAAAACCCTTTGATTCCCAGCATAGAATCCTTAATTACCTTCAAGTACCAAAGTCAAATGAGTCTAGGCAGATGGAGAATAAAATAAACTTATGCTTTTTCATTTTGGCACGTAAATACGGCGATTAAATATCTAGCTGTCCACTCCCTGTCGAAGCTCTCTCTGGAACTCCATGATCCCGACCGATACCAATCCCGTTCCCTTCCACCAGTTAACCGTAAGGTGGAGCGGGTCGCCCAGCCATAACCGAAACACCGAAACGCAATAAGAGCAGACTCCAAAATCCCAAATAGACAAAACCAGATGTTGAGGTAGGTAAGGGGAATGGTGAATTTTTTTTAGTTCATGACCATTTCAGCATCCATTGCAGAAGGGAGATGGCGAGCCTCTGTTGAGGTGGGAGACGGCGAGTCGGCAGCACTTAGAGTGATGCAGCCATCGAACGTAGGAGGCGAGGTTGCAAGATTTTTGAGCGCCCCATCTACAGTGGTGCTGACAAGTTGACCTCGACGAAGATCCTCGGAAAAGAGGAAAAAGCCCTCAGAAGCTTCAACGAGGTAGGACTGGAGGCCCCGGCTCTCAAGACGGATGTGTGCATTGGTGATGGGGTAGTGGTTTTCGATGTAGCGCGCCCAACCTCTGGCAGCAGCCTGGATGTGCTCATCTTTGCTCAGCTGTCTCCAGCCAATGCCGAGATGTAATGTGAAGTCGTCAATGATGGGAGTTTTGTTGTCACCGACGGTAGCCTGCGCAGCGTCACGTCTAACACTGGTAGAGCCAGCTGCTGACAGGGAAGGGGAGTCGTGGTTATTGGACCCAACGACGCGTTGGAGCTTGCTGCTTCGTGGGGCAAGCTGCTTTCTGTCCAATTCGGCTTGAATGCGCGCCTGGTCCTCGGATGCCTTCTTCTCCTCCAACCAAGTGCCAGACTGACTACCAGCTTCGGCAACGTAGGTCTTGGTGGATTTGATGAGGGTCATCCCTGGGCCATACTCCCATACCTCTTCAGGTTCTTCGGGCTTGGGGGGAACAATGTCAGGCTCAAGGTTGCTGGCAGCCTCATCGCGCGAGCGTTTTCTGCTGGTTGGAGTGCTGGTCTGGAATGGCGCAAGGGAGCTGGGAAAGCCGCCAAATGATGCAGAGGCTGGGGCTGGAGGGCGTGGGAAGCCTGCCATGCCAAACGGTCCCTGGTGGGGAGATTGGGCTGGTACGGTCAGGACCGGAGAAGGAGAGAACTGTCGACTAAAGAATGCCATGATTGGATCTCGTGTGGTGGCACAAGACGACTGCGTAGGTTCAAATCTGTAGAGTTAGTAACAAATTGCATGCACAAACCGCAATGGTGAGAGGTGGCCCGAAACAGACGAGGGCTTTTTGAGGCGCTGGAGTGGAAGTAAGAGTGATGGCAGGAGAGGTAGTAGTGAGGTAGGCCCAGGACACGAGGGCAACGTGGGTAGAAGTGTGACGATGGGGCCAATTGACGGCACGAGAGGGAGTTCAAAGATCTAAAGTGTCTGAGGAGGCGAAGGAGAACGCGCAATGACTTGGACGGCGACGAGTTAAGTGCGACCGATTGACGCGTAAATGGAGGGTGAGGGTCGAGTAGGACTGAGGTGGACTGGAAGGTCAGATGTAAGTAGGTTGGTGAGGGTAGGTCCTCCTTGATGGTGGAAGAGTGTGGGAAGTGTGGAAGAGATGGGAAGAGGAAGAAAGTGAAAGAGGATGGGAGGAGGGAAGGAAGAAGTATGAATGGTAGGCAGGAAGGCAGAGGAGCGCAGATGTGAGAACGGAGGCACAGGAAGTAGGGCGAGCGAAGGGCTCTCTGTCGCCTGCAGCTGGCTGATCACATCTGAGGCCGGCCGAGTTTGTTCGTTCCCACAGTTGGTTGACCTGGGGAAAGAGAGCCGAGCGAGCACTCACAGCACTGTGCCGCCATGGCGCGATCTAAGGGTGGCCAGGTCTTCACAGGGGGCTGGGAACCTGTCGGAGCTAAGAAACACTGCCAATATGTGCACGGAACTAATCCAAGCCAGGTACCTGAGAACTTTGGCGACTCGCGCAAATACAGTGCCAATAAACAGACTCTACGGCTGCAGGTCACCGCTGCATTCAGCCTATCAGCCACGCACTTGCCTAGAGGGAGCAGGGTCCCAGTGGATGCCGCCCGGTCCGGAGCAACAATCCAGCGAGGAATGGCTCAGACTCATTTATGTCTCATTCCCTAGGCCCCACTGATATACCACATACAGGCTTCAATTGGCTGGAAGGGTAGATTTTTGCTCAGAGCCAATCGCGCATCTCGACTCGCCGATGAGTAATTGGTGTGGGTAGATGCTGGTGGGAGGAGTCGGGGACCCCATGGCTTACCAGCTTACCTCACGGAGTTGTCCGTCTGCCTCTCGTTGGTGCATTAGTCCTTTTGGTCAGCATCGGGTGACCTGACCTACATGGCGCCAACAAGCCAACAATGTAACCAGCCTCTTTATGCCAGCTAGAGTCTAACCTAAGATAATATGCTGCATACGTGACTACCTACACGGTAGCTTTCAGAATGGTGTCCGATACACGATAGGTTTCAGTCACCTGGGACATGCCCCATCTATCAATGCTGCCTTTCGTATCTGCCTGCACCGGTTTCTTCTGACCCCCTTTGCCCAGCACGTAGTCAGGTAATCTCCATCAATCGTCCTCGTCCTCTTGGGCACCCCCAAAGTCTCGAGATGGAAGAGGTGGAGACCCTTGCTTTATTATCCATTAGAGACTTCTAAAAACATCTTAAAGGATCTCTCGTTGATGGATTTTGCTTACCAAGTGATCTCCCTCGTTGGCGATCCTTGTTGACTAGACCAAAGGGCCACAGTTAATTTGATCCCGACTTCTTCGGCAACAGCCTGCATACATACACTGATGGTTCTTGATCGTGGTGTCTGCGAGAATGGTGGAGGCAGGTCTGGCGGTCCTGGGGCACTATGGTTTGTGGCGAGATGTCGTGTCTTGCCTGAAGATGATTCTGCTCGAGGGGTCAAGTCAAGTGCTGATTCCGGATCCTCCATGTCTGAAAAAGCGGCATTGTCCTCGTCTTGGTGATCATCTTCCTCCTCTTCTAC